GGAACCTCTTTAATGCTGCGCAGTGTGTGAATGTGTGGTGTGACCTGAGAGAACATGATTCCATCTCTATTTGTCTAGTGGATGTTGGCTCATGCTTTAGTGAGTTCTCTCTTTATTTTTCCTCTCTGAACACTGTTGCGTACACTCTTTGGCCCTATCCACATAGGCACCTTAGAGGGTGGGGGGGGCCTCCAAACCGCAGGACCGGCCGGGTTTTTGACACCTGACTCTCTTGTTGAGTCTTAAAACCCGACTTTGATGTCTGCAGGACTCGAACTTGAGTACGCTCGGGGTCCCCAGAGAGATGGGGTCTAAGCCCTGGGATGGTGGGCAGGTGAAATTTTTTGAGTGAGATTTTGAGAGCTATGCAATGAGATCACTGGTAGCCTAAGAAGCTGGTGAGATACAGGAGGAGAGAATCTTCATCCTCCTGTATTTCTCCTGAACCAGCTTTCCTAAGTCTTATGTCTTAGGGCTTAGGCCACTGTATCTCCTATCCTCTCACGATGGAAAATGCCTTACACATCATGCCTTTGGTGTAAGGCTACCAACAAAAGATACCGTGAGGGTGGCAGGCCACCCACATTGCTCTAGTGTAATTACTCAGTAAACTTCACTTGTTCTCTTGATTTTGAGATCTGTGTTCATTCAATTTCACACAGTAGAATCAATTGACTTAGGGCCCTTTTGGCAGATTTAGCCAAAAATTGTTACACAAAAACAAAATTTCTATCCGCCCCTGAAAAAGAGTTTTTCAGGGGCAGATAGAGAAACTTGTTTTTTGGCTTTTTTAGATAACCAAACAGTCGACCAAAAAGGTCAACAAAAGATCAAAATGATCATCGTTGACCATTGATCACCATTCAACTGTTTGGTAACAACCAAATTCATCAATCCTTTTCTTGACACTTTGCATTGCATGATTTAAAACGACATGGAGTGTTGTTCTTACCTTTCAAAAGTCATATCAGACATACAAAGAATATTATTCACAATAAATTGCTCAATGGTATCAATGGAAATCAAAGATATGATTCTCAACATCAGATAATAAAATCAACTTTTTGTATGCTTTCCTATCAGACTTTATTTCTAGATGATTAGAATGAAATAAAATACATTCTGGTCTTCAAGGCATTGGTTTTTGAGATGAAGAGGAATAGGGGTACACAAACATCTCAACCCGACCTAATAAAACCTATGGCAACCTGATTGATTTTTGGATTTTTTAGCGCCAAAAACTCAAAATCAATCGGGTTGGCACGGGTTTGTTGGATGGGTTTTTAAGGTCGGGTTGAGATGTTTGTGTACCCCTAATGTTCTTGAGAAGAAGATTGAGAATTAGATCTAATCTTTGGTTTGTTTTGATTTGGATATGAAGTTAAACATGATTTGATATTTGTCTTATTTTGCTATAAAATTGATTCCTTTAAATCAAGTTTATTCAATTCGATCTGATTCTTGATTGCATTGTTGTAGAGAGAAAGGAAAAATGGACAACTGGCAGGGAGAATGGTGTGTGAAGGGATTAAGAGGGTGGTGGTGTTGGTGGTGAGGTTGCAGATGGTGAGGTGGTGAATTCCTGGTGTTGATCGGTGGATTGAGGTGAAGGGCCAAAAAGGCTTTTTGGCTTAAAAAACAGCCTTGAGGCTGTTTTTCAATTTTGACAGTTCTTGATCAAATACAGTCAAACCTGTTGTATGGCATACCTGTACATTGGCTTAACCTGCCAAATTGCATACATTTTGGCCTGGACAAGCATGGTCAGGGCCAAATTATGCCTTCTCTGTCTAATGCCTTATGGCATACTTTTTTTTGGACATTAGTATGGTATTAAGGCATAAAATACCCAAAAAAGTGCACACAGTGTGTACATACATATGTTATGTGTACTTTATATGATCCATCTTTTGTGCCCTTGATCCCATTCCGTTTCAAGTATCATGAAATGGAGCAATTAGGTGTACTCAAAAGCTGTGCTATCAGAAAAAACCTGTCTTATGACATGAAAATATGTGATTATAGAGATAATTTGAAAGGCATACAATTATGCCATATGGCAGTACTCTGCCATATGACATAACCTGCTATAAGGCATGCCAAATTGGTCGGACCAAGGGGTATGTCTTAAGACAGGTTTGACTGTACTGTTTTTGTATTTAGGTCAATTGAAATTGCTGAACACCGATGTTTTTGAAAAAACCCAAAAACAGTTTTGACCCAAAAACAGTTTTTGGCTTTGGTGGGGTTTTTGGCCAAAAACCGTTTTTGGGTTTCAGCCAAACGGGCCCTTAAGTCTTGACCTATCAACTTCACATTCAGGGTACTCAAAGTAAGTATGTGTGAATACATACTTTTCACTGCATACTTTTTTTTGGCGGGGAGAACAAAGCCAAAAGTATTTTTTTTCTTTTTCCCCGCCAAAAAAAATTATGTAGCACCACATACTTACTTTGAGTACCAATATTGCTCAGAACTAGGCAATTGGGGCCAAATCTTCACACAGGCCAAGGCTCATAATCATGCTACTTATAATCTATAACCAGGCATGAGATCATCGTGTACAGTCATGGCAGAGTGAGTGACACAAGGCCAAACCTGAGCTTTTCATAATCATCAAGATCTCAATGATATCAACCCCAAAAAGCATGATAAAAAATTGGTAAAAGAGAGGAAATTGGTGCTGAGAATGTGGTGGGATAGGGGCTGCAATTGCCATTCAAAAAACTACCTATGTAAAAGATTAAACTATTGAAGTGAAAAGTTTGGGTCTTTGGCAACAACTTTGAAAAAAAAGAAATTCATAACTATATGTAAATGTCATGAATCAAACAATAGCCAATTTGGACAAAGTTGTGCAATAGGTGCAAGGCAAGCAAGGGGTCATTGTGGGGTTCAAATTGGCTGCACTTAGTTGCAATGAGATTAGGGTATAATGCCTTGTGAGTGGCCTCCTCTTTTTTCCTTGAATTACTTTCCTTATTATAACTAGGAGGAAATGAAATCATTGTTTGAATGGTCCCTCATCTATTCTAGTTACACTCTCTATTCCATTACTACTGTGTGTGATCCAAATTACCACACCTATCTCATAGTCTCTATTAGACTGATAACCAAACTAAAATCATATGATCAGTTATTGTATACAAGCTTTTGAATCTCTTTCTCACTCTCACCATCTCATCTCCTTGATACATTGATCACAGAGCTGTATGTTTGTTTATCTACTTCATACTATTACTTAACTAAACCTTGTATATAAGCTGCCTGGAGTGGCACAAGGAAAGGGAAGTCTTCCTTCACCCTTTCCATTTTTTAACACACTCACTCCAGTTGATCACAACAAACATTTTGCAATTTCAACAGTTGCACTATTGCAATTCAAGCTTAGCTTTACCATATCTCATGTCAAACATTTTGAGGTCCTCTTGAGTTTCAGAGTGAGATGGGTCTTGTGGGAGGAGAATTTGCCACAAAAAGATTGCACAACCTGTCTTGAGGGTCTGAGAGTCTTACAGGGAAGGCATGTTGTGAAGCCAAGAGGAAATCCTTGAATTTCATTGGGTACTTACCCAGGCTTCTAGTAGCCACAGGTTCATTGATTGTTCTTCATTTAAGATCCCCACAACCATAAATACTTAGCAATAAGTGAAGCCAAGAGAAAATACTCGCGTTTTGTTGGGTATGTACTTGCCCAGGGGTCTAGTAGCCACAGGCAAATCAATATGTAGAGAAAAGCTTGATGTAGAGGTGATATTTGAAGTTAGTTTGTGTAAAGATGCTGCCATAAAGCCCTTTGTAATTTATGACAGGTATTGATTAAGGCCTGCAGGCTATAAACTCTATCAGATTTGAAATTTCCCAGGAGCCAAGGCTATTCTGGCAGACTCACATAAACAGCATTCTAGAAATGGCTTTTTAGCAAGATTGGACAAAAAAATATCTTGATTTCATTGTTTCCATTTTTTCATTCTCTTTACCAGCAGATAATCAAGCTCAGGGCCTGTCCTTTACACTATAGACTATAAATTTGATTTTTTTCCTTTGTACATGTGGCATTTACTTTGCATGTTCTTAAAAACCAGAATCCACAGACTACTTTCACATTTATGTTCTCTTCTGCTTTGTGTTGGAAAGATAGACACTCAAAATCATATCATATTAAATGTCTCTGTGGCAATGTTCAAAGTATCCGGATTGGCAATAATTACTCCTTCATATTTCAGATTGCACAATCATACAATATGTCTATATTAAATTTATGCTTGTACACATTTCATACTTATATCATCTTCTACGGAGCCTGTAGTAGTTTGAGTGTTGATATTGTTTTATTCTTCTCTCAAACACCATTCATCTTGTCACACTCTATCTCTCTGTTATCACACTATATATATAGAGTACTGACTCATCTGTACAGTGTTGTGCATCATGACTTTGATGATAAGAACAACAATAGAAAATACTTTTGTTCTTCATTCATAATTGACATGAGTTCAATTTGGAGTCAATCAATCTGGTCAAAGAAGTGCCATAAAGTGACAATGGGGACAAAATCTTGAGTTGATCAAGTAAAAGGATCATCAAAGCTGAATTTTTGGTAATATAACAAGATTTGAAATTTGGCCTGAAAGCTATCATCACAGGGGGAGAAACAGAAGCTCACCTCAAGGTGAGCATAGGAAGTTTGGAGGTTTCTCCAAGCTGTCTTCCTATTTGTTTCCCAATTTCTCCATAATTTTCTCCAGTTTTCTTGCAGTCCATCATCTGATCAAATGGTCAACATGGACTGGCCAGATCAGTTAGGCCTTCCTCAGACTTTATCCCTTAGCAAAGAAGTCTGAGGGAGGGCTAGCCCGTCTGCTCAGGTCATCTCAGGCACTCCAATGCTCAGCTTGCACAGTCAAGTGACCAAATATGATTGCAGCAGTGTACAAGCTGAGTTGCAAGTACTCATGTATCCTCCAGGGTGAGCATACCTTGGCCAACTCAAGCAAAACATAAGTATTACAAGGTGAGCACCTCAACACAGCACAGATTGTGAATTGAAAGAATCAGAAGAAAATTGAAAGATTGTTGGAGATATCAGGAAATCTTCCTTTTACCCCTGGGCATGGTCATTATCTAGTACAGACCTTGTCAAAAATCACAAGAAGCTTGATGCATAGGGCCCGTGTGGACTGCCCCAGACATTGGGGGCTCCAACAAGTACAAAGGCTTGCCTTGGTATACTCTTGAGGTCCCCCGATGTCCAGGGCAGTCCACACAGGCACAGTGATGGCAGCAACTACAGTTGCTGTGTAATACAGATACATTTCGAGTGAGCATATTTTGCTATAGAAATCAAAATTTTTGGTGAAACACAAATGCGGGGGGCTTAATCCGGACACTTTAGTATATAGACTGAGAGCATATGTTTCTCGGAAAATATGCTTACAAGGGGAGGTTTTGGCAGGTTTTATAAGCATAACTATGCTTACATCAGTCCAACAGAGATGTCTAAAACCCATAGTTTGGTAAACTATATCTCGAAAGGGGTTTTTAATTCCTGAAATAAGCATTAGCATCACTTTCTCCCCGGCTATGCTTTTGTGCTTATTTCGATGTGATCTATTGCACGGTGCACCTTTTATTTGAGCATCGAATTTGATGTTTTGTGATGTTGCTTGTATCGGGCGGCGACTGCATACCTTTTTGACTTCGCATGAACTTTCGAATGTATCCTTCAGTCAATGTTTAGATAAGCTTGGATACGTTGCTGCTGCAACACTGGATTGAGATTACAAATCTATAATTGGATTAGCTAATCTCATTCGAGGTGTTGAAAGTGAACGGTCCCATTTCATAATATGAAATGATAGTTTGATTTTTGGCTATGCTGAGTCCGGTTTGGCTCAAACTCGAATGGAGTTAGTCGCAATGATGTCATGTGTCCCTGATAATGATATGATAAATGAGTACATTTACTGGGGTCGATTCGAGGTTTGATCCAATCTATGTGCTTGGGATGTTGAGATCAGGTTAATGATAGTTCGTGTTCCTTCTGATCAACTCACATCGCTTCCCTCAATTGGGTGAAGGTTCTCTTCGCTACGGAATACATACATACAAGCGCAAAAAACCCCAACGATTACCTAAATCTCGACTCGGATGATTAGCTAATAAGATATATACTGTAAAAAAACCTCATACCCTCGTCACCTGATTACTTTTTAGAAGATTCACTGACGAAACTTGTCTTGTGCTTCTCCTTCGCCTGGTAAGCTACAAAAAAAGTCATGTGTATCCCACCCTCGCGCATGGGATTTATTTGTCTCATTTTCTTGGATTGTTTCTTTAAATACCCGAACCCACAAGCATCAATAAACCCTCCATATCGACTTTGCTTTCTTTACCTCCTCTATCAGCCAATAAATCAACTTTGTATCTGAAAAACTCACAATATCAATTATGCTTGTCGTCCAACATTCTCAAATGCCTAGCTCGCTCACCGCGGCGATACCTTCTACCTCGAACAGCCTACCTGAAGCCACTCCACTCTCAGACTCGCACTTGAGCCAGACTCCGACTACCGTACCGTCAACAGATAGTTATTACTTCCATCCTCGTTACCAATCACACACTCCTGGTGCCGACTTCGTGCTAGCTTCGTCTGATCAACCACAGTGTTGGTTTGCTATCGACAGTCAAAGACTCTTTGGTACCGCTTGGAGTGATTTTGAAAAAGCTCATCGACGAGGTCGAGAAAGTCATCAAGCATTACCCGTCATCCATCTCAACGAGTCCCGGGCGGTACTCGAGAATATCCTATTGACCATGGACCCAGAGGCTATGCCTGATTTTGGTCAGACTGACTTCGAAACGATTGGTGAGTGATGTTTTCTGTCGGTTAATCCTTCATCCCACCCAGCTAACTTGATTTCCTTCCTTTCCTTTGGCAGTCTCCACTTTGGAGATCGCTGCCAATAAGTTCAACCTTTCAGGTGTTGAGAAATTATGCCTTTTTGCACTCAGGTAGGCCTTTCACTCTTTTTGTGACTACTACAGCGCATACATCTGCGCAGCCTGATGACTGAATCACTGACTTTCTCTTTTGACCCGACAGTCTGCACGTTGAATCTTACCCCATTGAGATATTCACCCTCGCTCTCCATTACTCGGCAGATTGGTTGGCCAAACGTGCATCCCCGCATACACTCAAATTCGACCTACAGGATGCAAAGTGTCAGGATGTACTTTCACAAGAGAGCTTAGCAAGTTTGGTGAGTTCTTTCAGCTCAATAATCCCTCTTGACGGTTTCATTAATCCATTGATTGTACAGCTTGAACTACATACACATCGAATCGTCGAAGCCAAAAAGATCATTTGCTCTTTGACTCCGTTCGTCAAACAGACTTGCCAAGATTGTCATACAGATGAGCTAGAAAAACTTTGGATTCGAAAATCCGAAGAAATGATTCAAAAGATCAATCGACCTGATCAAAATTTAACTCAACTCTTTAATCGTATTATTCTTCGTCCTGCATTCTATGAGGTTACTTGTCCATCTTGTTTGGATCGATTGTTGGAGATTGGAGGAGAGATAGAGCATCGTTGGAAAGCGGTGCGATCCTATAACCTTTCAGTAGAATAAGCATAAAAAAATTACTCCTGATCATCTTGACTTTTGGATCAGGTCTTCACTTTTGTATCAGGTCTTGCTTTATTTCATCTCTGGTTTTGCCCAACCTTTTTACATATGAAGAACATTTTTTCATTTTTTCATCTCTTTATGCTTCATATCTATACGTCTCTCTTCGCTGTACCTTTTTACTTGATGCGAAGTTTTTTTCAAAAGTTTTCATTTTGGGTTTGTGCTTTTCTTGTCACTTTCTGATAGAACATTCAATTATTTATCAACATTCAGATTCTTGCTATTGTATTACAAAATCAACAGTCATTCCTAGAAACAATGAATGAAAATTAAGGTTGTGGCTTTCAAATATTTAGAAAGCTAATCATAGAGCAAGATGTTGAGGTCTACATGGAGCCATTCACTCAAAGATGCAACCTATCCTTTTGTAACAGGTCACTGTCTCCGGAAAACAAGGACTGATTCAATGACTACTATGTATCCACAGATTCCTATCAAGATTGGCTTTCTCTTCTTTTATGCATTGGTCAATGACTCTGCATCATGAACTAGCCGGTGGCTTTCCTTCAGCAATCTGGAGCAGAATGATTCAAGTTCAAATCATGTTCTCTATACCTCTCACAGGTCACGTTGTGGATGCCAAAAGACGAGCCGCGCGCGGGCTCAAAACTATGCTTTGCGGGAGGCGCGCGCTTTGTTGGTTTGAAGGTGAATAGACTCGACATACCCTCAGCTGGTTGTTCAAAAGATTACTTCCCTTACGACATCCAGCTCGATATCCACGCCAACCCCAACTTAACTAATTAGTCCCTCGTGCAGAGGTTTGACATAGCAAGCGATGCCCGTTGTTATGTTAAGCCTCTGCACGAGGGACTTATTTAAGTTCGCCAAGCCCCCGATAACCTTGCAAAGTCCTCACTCTACCACCTCCGTCAACGAGATCCGACTTTTCTGGATGAAATTCACGGGGAGCTTCTTTATCCTACTGATCAGTGGGACAATGCCGTTCATTCTGAAACTCGTCCAGAACATTTTGGATTGAGCTCGATCAACTATTCGGAGCCAGAGGAAGCTCTGATTGAACAACAATCGTATACCTATGAGAGCCAGTGTTGGATTTTGCGACTTTTGATTTATTTTTGTAGCCGAAAGCGCGCCTGGTGGCGCCCGGGCGCATATCTTGGTCAGACGCATCCAAGCGCACCTTTAAAGTGCGTGCCCATAACCAGACACGTTACAAGTCATTCAATGATTTCAATCAAAAAATTGTTATGTGATCTTATCATGCTAAAATGAAGGAATCATGCAATTTCAATATTTTTTTGGCTGTGGATAGTATTGTTTACAATCCTGTTGCATGAATTTATGAGGCTCACAAAGATTCTTTTCATCTGAGTGACAGCACAATATTATGTAGATTCAAACATGAAAATAGCATTACTTCAATTATATATATATATATATATTCAGACAAAGATGTGTTTGAAAAATGAGCACAAATCATTGATCAATGACTAAAAGTCATACCAATGACTGGCAGCCATAGATTTTGTAAATCAAAGAAAATGACTGGTGTAAGCAATCATGCAGGTTTAACAGCCATGTGGTTCTTCAAACCCTCAATGAGCCTAGAAAATGTAATCACCAAACCAGAAATCTGCCCATCAATTCAGATACCAATGGCTGATATTTTGGTGAGGAAATTTGATGAGATTTTTCAACAGGTTCACTTTTTGTAATTGTCTGAGACACCTTGGCTGAATTGATTAAACATAAATTGTGACACTTCCTTGACTTTTTGTGAAAATGTTGCTTGATGATTGCAGTTGAATTTCTTCCCATAAAACTTGAGTATCTTACTAGTTTTTTCACACATTTTTTCAAGTAGGGATTCTTGAGGTAGAGGTTCAAAAAATGCCATTACCCTACACTCTACACTGCTTCTTTGAGATATATTGGGGTCATCTGTTACCATTTTAAATGAAGCATGTGGAACATTGATCCCATGCCCATTCTTTGCTGTGTTATCATGTTGCATAAATACATAAGCTTCATCAGGCCTCATATTACTCAAGTACCACCATTTTTGGCCTTCTTTATACTTCCACGGCTGAATTGAATTGCTTGCAGTTGTTGGTTCGACTCCATACTCTAGAGTATCATCTGGTGGAGAAAGTGAGCTCCATTCACATAAACCAAGAGGATTGTCAGAAACCGGCTGAATTGGCCTCCACACATTCAGGATGACAACCTTTTTATTCTCCTGCAAGTACTTTCCAAATTGAATCTCCCGTGTATCCCCAAATTTCAAAAAATTGTTTTGGCAGCATTGTTTGAGAAGTTGAGCTCCTGCTGGTGACATATCTGAGTGGATGAGTGGCACTGTTGGAAATATCACTTCTGAACTGCTGTCAGGATCCCCTCTGAAAGTACTATCAATGGCAACTGCTGCTGTTGCACCAGTCCTGAGTATTTTAAAGCCATAAGTTCCTTTTGCATTGCCTGAAGAAAATTTGGTTAAAGCTTCACTTACAATTCTTTCACAAGATTCACTGAATCAGCCTCTATTTGAGTTTGGTATTCATTTTGATTGTTAAATTCATTGACAGGCCTTCCAGAAACATGAGTAAATCCCTCAGTCTTCAGTTTAGGTTGCCGTTTACAAGTGCGGAGATCATGAAGTTCAATGAGGTGACATGTAGATTCATCGCCATGATATCCTGTTCCATCTTCATCTGGCCTTGCATGGTATGCATAGCCTAAAGCTGTTGTAGGATCTGAGAAACAGCCATCAAGAAATTTGAAATTGAAGTCAGCATTGGGACAGGTCAGCTTAAGTGTTAAGAAAATCAATTGACACAAACCTTTTAGACCCCTTTTGGAAATACTTCTGCAGTCAACTAAAGCATGAAAAAGGAGAAAAAAAAGTATTTGGAACAATGAGTACATTGATAGCATGGTGCTTTTGATGTTCTTTACCCTTGGTGATGAATGGCCTGAATCTGTGATATACCAAAAAAGCAATTATTTGATCATTGATTTAAGTAGCAATGTTTTGCTACAGATAGTGATACTTGAGTGACCAGTCTAAATCTCTAACAAGTATGGCAATACTCAAGTTTCAAGTACTGGCTTGGAACATTTCTCACCACCTTGTATGATGTATGTAACATGCCATCTGTAACATGATACTGGTGAGACCATGCAACCAAGAGATACATAACATCAAACCATGGTCATGGTGTGAACAACATGTATGAAGGTTCCTTGACAAATTTGACATCATGTGTTTTGCTGACAAAACCCCACTTGGATCCCAGACTGGAATACACACTTTTTAGCTGTGGTGGGCGAGGGCCATGCAATTTGATTAAAGAATTCAACTACAGAATTAAGATGGCTGCAATGCACACAATGGGGTGACATCCACAGGGCAGAAAAAAACTGTTCCTGCTGCACTTCTAGGCCAAGCCCACTGGTGTGCATTGTACCTCTGGGCCCCAAGTCTGACCAAATCTATTGCACTGGCATTGTATCCCAGTTGTGTTGCACTGGCACTGCCACAGGGCAGATCAGATACTATAAGTGACCAGAATTTCCCATGACACATGTTATCATTTATTTTGTGTGAAATGAAAATGTCTATAAAAATCCAGGCCCTTTATACCTCTTTTGATGGTATACATTCTACAAAGTATCTCTTGGCTGTACCCAATTGATTTGTGTCTTGTTGTTTAAGGGCACATTCACTTAAGCAATTTCTAAATCACAATCTTCAAAGTTTAAAGTGTCTATTTGGTGGTGCATGTTTCATTTTTGCATTAAGAATTTTACAAAATGTGATTTCTGGTCAGAAATTCCTCAAGGGAATGTGTCCTAAAGAATTTGACATTTTGGCCAAAATGTTTGTATTGGAAAAAGTTAGAATTTAGGCTCAATTCTGGAAAAAAAGGTTACCTCAGCTAACATAAGTCTTTGAGTTTGCCTGTTTGGACTTAGGTTAAAGTCTTTGTATGAAGTTCCAGGATTCAACATGGAAAAAGAGAAAAGGTCTCAAGATGTTGCCAGGAAATCCCAAGAAAGCACATCAGCTCCACATGTTGAATTGTTTTATGAATGATTACCACTAGTTCATTGTTTCAAGCTCAACTTGACTAATTCCTTTGTGCAGGGGTGCAGGAATCACCTGCCAAGTTGAACACCTGCACAAAGGACTTACTCAATTTAAATTTCAAGCTGTCTAGTTCACCACCACACCCCACAATACACTCAATTTAATCAATCTTTCACTTAAAGAGAAGGTGTTCTCAGAACTCAAGGTCATCATCAATTTTTTAGTTCTTTATCCTTTTATGTAATCTAAATTTTTGTTTTTAATTTCCCAGGATCTCAAATCAAAATTCAATCTGGTTCACGATGGTTGGACCACAAAAGGTAACCGCTCGTGCTGACATCTTGATTTATTTTGTAACACCTGCTATGTCAGACCACAGATTCGGGCTCTAACAACAAGACAATGGCTCAAGAGATGCACAATCAGTTTTTAGAACAGGACGACATCAATTCTTACCGATGGGACCCACACACGATGCATATATTTTGTTTTTGCCATAAACTTGCATTGATTGTCAATGCAGGTTTGGCAGCGCTTGGAGTTAAAGCTCCGCCACCCCTCAAAGCCAAAGCTACTGACCGAGGTCACTTTCGCATTGTAGGTAGCATCCTTGAGGAGGACGAACCAGAAGACAAACCGATGGTAGTTCCACCAGGTGTTGGCCGATCAAATCTTGCTGAGGAGGAAGACAAAACCCACGAGCACGACTTGCAGGACCTTGAGGATGCTCCAGCTCCAGCCGATGTTGTTCTTGAACTTGATGATGAAGGGGAGTGGGATGCTGCTGACGCTGAGGATGAAGCAGCACCCAAATTGACCCTTGACGATAATGAGGTCCACCCAACGCACCGTCATGAAGCAAACAATCTCAATTATATCTTGCGCAAGGTATGTATATAATATGTTTTATCTCTTGTATTCAACGTAACAAATTGCTGAATACTTATTTCATCGAACAGGTGGACTTTATCACTTGAAGAATCACACGTTCCGCGGCTTGGCGCAAGGAGTATGATCGTGTGTGTGCCCAAAAGGGATTTCAAGGATCAATCATTGCAGGTTACGGCATTTGATGGAATGTGAAATATCAAAGCCGCCACAAGGCATGGCTTGCACGTGAGGTACTGTTGATTATTTCCTCTCATTATCAATCACGATTCCAGGTAACTTTTTATTCATGCAGGTCATCAATCAATTGTGCCGAGACGATTTAAACATTGTCCACGCAAAGAATCGCCCGCCACATAAAAACAAGAAGCCCTATGGATATTTTTGTGAACTCGAAATGACAACCAGTGAATGGGCACAAGTCCGAAGAATCAACAAAGAACTTGAAGTAAGTAGACCATTTTGATATATCTTATCTATACAATCATCCAACATGTTTTCTTTTTCTATTCTCTCATTTTGATTAATGATTTTAGCCATTCTTGAAGACAACCCTTCTCATGGAGGGCGATGGACCGACTGGGTGCATGGTGATACCCCAATACGTGCAGCTTCAGAACAATCTCGAAAAGAAGATATTACCCCTCAGCACAACTGACGCCATATATCTGATGCTCGCAAAGATAAAAGAAAAAACTGACAAGTATCTTAAAGAGGCGCTGGCATGCAAGAGTCTTGTCATGGCCACTGTACTACATCCATTCTTTTGACTTAGATTTTTGTAAAATGGTTTGGAGAAAGTGCCTTGGTTACGATGCAAGCTGAAGCAACTCTGTGTCGGCTCCACCAAGAGTACGAGCTCTCTGCACCTATCATCAGATCGACTTCTTCTCAAATCAAACGTGAAAGACAATCGAAGACACACGCCACTTCTTCCCCTAAGCCAGAAATCTTTGGCAGCAACACGGAAGTGGAATCGGAAGTTGATGAGACTGATGACCTACCGTTGAAGAACTATCTACGTGGAACGGACAAGATGAAGACAGAGAACTACGATGTTCAGGATCCGGAAGCAAGCCTACTGTGGTGGAAGGTGAGTTCTTTTTTTCTTCTGCTGATCAAATATAGTTAGTATGAAAATGATTACTTCGATTAATAATAAATGTATTACTTTCTAGGCTCACGCAAAAAATTACCAAGTCTTGGCCCTCATGGCTAGAGATTACCTAGCAACCACCGGTTCTTCGTGTGCGGCAGAGAGAATCTTCTCCTGTGCTTCAGATGTTTGTTCATGTAGCCGAGGCAGCTTGATTGCCCAAACGATTGAAAGCCTTGTATCAAGCAGACTGTGGTTAAGAGAAGGAGTTGAGCTGGGTAGTGTTTTGACAAGCTTAGCAAGGTTCTAAAAGCAATGGGCATACCCATGACTTGACCATGGATCAATCGATTTCAACTTTTTTTTTCTCCTCCTTCATTATTGGTTTTTTAACATCAATTTTTCATAACTCTCTTTAATATTGTTCATTCCTCTTGTTTTCCCTATTTTTTGTATTCGCCTGTACCATCTCCGACCATGGGTTGATGCTATAAATGCTATTCAAAATTGATCTCGCTGCTTAAACCCATTTTAGTTAGTGGCGTTGCTGTTGCGCCCATTGCGTAGCGTTCAAACCGCAACACAATTATTGTTGCGTTGCTCTTTGCTTATCAAAACTGCTGCGCTACAAGAGTTCCAAAAAGTCTTATCTTTGGCAAAACACAACGCCATGCTGAATGACGCTGTTGTGTGGTGTTGCGTTGCTTACCCGGTGTTGGTGGGAGTCACCATAGAACAGCTGATTGCTTCTGAAAGAGCATTTCTTGAGATGTAACAGCTGAATATTATGTTTTCTTGTAAATGGATAAGAACACCGTTGTACCTAAACAATCAGTGCCTAATGTAAGCACTCTTCTCCCTGTTCAAAGGTATGCAGACCTTTCTCGAACTAACCTAAACAATCAGTGCCTAATGTAAGCACTCTTCTCCCTGTTCAAAGGTATGGAGACCTTTCTCGAACTAACCTAAAGACACCACAAAAGAAAGATTGAAGATGAAACAGAAAGACAAGTAAGATTATAAAGGTTTATATCTATAGTTAGAATGAGATGATGTACCTGAAGGCTCAGAGGAAATTTTAAATATGAGAAAATAGAAATGTGAGTTTGATAAACTCGTGGCTAGTGATCTGAGGGATTCTAAAGTATAACAGTAGAAAAATTAGTAAAAGACCGTGATGATTGATCTGAGTGAAATTACTTACTCTCTTTCCAACAGATGAGGAAAGAGAGTAAGAACGGGGGGGCAATCATCTGGACTATACAAACGAAAACACTCAAAACAAATTGGGGAAGATTTTCGATAACATTGATTGGGATGATTAACTGTCAAACCTGAAAACCACTCTGAGACTATTCTTCTTAACCTTACATTGTTATAGCCTAACATCTTAACCTCTTCATACTATACTCGTAAGTACTATACTTAGACCTGTCTTGATTGGATTTCAACATTTCTGATATTTACCACAGACATGATTATAAGCAATCCACATTTTTTCTAGCCCTCCAGTGGGTTTCAATCAAGTATGGTTGTTTCCAGGCAAGGTTATTCAACAAATACATTTACCCTACACTCTATACTGGTTCTTTCAGATACTTTGGCACAATCTTTTGAGAGCTTGAAGGAAGTATGTGGAATATTGATACTGTGCCCATCTTTTGCTGTACTATCATGTTGCATGAATACATAAACTTCATCAGGCCTCTGATTGCTTAGGTATACCCACTTTTGGCCTTCTCTATACTTACATGGCTAAAGTGAATTGGAGGTATCTGTTGGTTGAATTCCAAAATCTAAGATGTCTTGTGGTAAGTGTGAATCCCATACACATAAACCCAGATGATCATCTGATATAGTTTTAATTGGTCTCCACACATTCAGAATAACAAAGTTTCTACCATCCCTTAGGCATTTTCCAGCTTCAACCTTGCTTGGCTCCCCTCAATTCAAAAGCTTTTCTTGGTGATGTGTTTTCATGCACTGAGCTTCTTTTGGCGACATATCAGAGTGAATTATTGGCACCCGTCTTGGTCATTGAAGATGTCCTCTTATAGCCCAACTTTGCCCCCATCTTAAGTATTTGGGGTTTGTCTGGAAGGGCATACACAGACATAGCCGTATATCTCCTTCCTCACAATCAAACCTTATTAAATACATGTAACTACATTTAATTCAACAGTTACATGTAGTAATAAGCTGAAAGAACTCGTAACAAATGATTACATGAAGTTACAAACATGTAATCATCAATTACACGAGTAATACACATAGTACTTTTTTTCTACTATTCTTTTTCACTTATCACTTTCACTTAAACTTCAATTCCGTTTCTATTTTTCTCTATTTTTGTGTATTCAAAAGATGATCAATATTCAATAAACAAAATACTCACGGATCAGTTTGGAAGATGATCCTAAAGTAATTTTTTTTATGATAATCTTTCTAATGACCACATGTAGTCCTAGTTCAAGCAACTAAGTTGGATTGGGAACCCAACTTAGTAGCTGTTCATCTAGAACCGATCTTCTTGGCATGTGATGGCCGCCAAGAAGGGAGGTCTAGGGCTCTTGTGCTAAAAGGAAGGGTTGTAATAGCATGAATTACAAGGGTGAATCAGGGATCATGGGAATTGAAGATCAGTAATACTAAAAAGTAGATCATTACATGCACAGATCTTGTTGTAATGATCATATGTGATCATCTACGGATCATTGATCAGTTGTTAACAGGAGATGTTCACATTAGCCTCCTGATTTGTATTTTCTTATGTTGCTGTGCGCTTTCTGCTTGTTCTGACGGGTATACAAACCCTTGTCTTTGTCTTATTTCTTTTGCTCCTCATCCTTTACAATAACAAATCAAGTTTACCAAGCTTTATAAACCAACCAATCCCTCCACAACAACCTCCCAAAGCCCTTACATGTCCCTTATAAGCCCTTTTACAGTTAGTATCCACGGATTCTGGTCTTTATTCTGCTTTTTCTCTTTGATTACTATTGTCAACTGCTGTCCTACATATATAAATTATATGTGATCGACCTGTAACATTTATATATCAACTATTACGCCGTCATTTCCTTGCTCAATAAGCTTCCTTATTGACAGGGTTCATCAGTCCTGTTCTATGAGACAATGTACAAGATAGTCATCTTACAATTTTTTTGCAAGCTTAACAGAATTTTCCTCTATGGCAACTTTGTATTTGCCAATATCCCCCCAAAAATTTCCAATTTTTATAACATGCTAGAAACACAAGTCAATCCATGAGTTTTCAAATCTGGTCTAAGGTTAGAATTGCAAAGATCTTCAAGAGGAATGTTGCAGGGTTTGGATTTTTGCACAAGATATCTAGTCAAATCCTCAGATGGCTGGGCACTGCATAGGCATATCCATAAACTGGTGCAGCAACCAATGAAAAAACATAAGATGATAAGAACTGAGGTCAGCATCTAGCAAAACTGGCTGAATATCTAGGAAATTCAATGCAAGCTAACCTTTTAGTTCATTCTTTGAAATACTTCCACAGCTGACAGAAGACTGATAATACAGAAGAAGAAATACATGTAACAAAGATGAACTGATTGGGATCGTCATTAATTGCATGATTCTATAGATTTGATGATGAAGGAATTGAATTTGGTAGACACTGACACAAGAATTGTTCAATTATTGGTTTGAATATGGAAATTTGTTCCAAAAATAGTAAAGCTTGAGACTCCTTTACAATTCTGTTGCAAATCTGGTAATGTTCCAGATTCAAGTATCATTCTTGACACACCTCTTCAAGCCATGTAAGATATGAGCAGATCTTGACAAAATTGATTGTTTGTATTTTGCTGAAAATCAAGAGCTTGACACACAAGTCACACATTCTAAGCCTGTGGTAGGCCTCAGCACTTAAACTTTACCAAAAAAGCCAATTCTGCCTTCCAATGCCCAAGTGGAGCTGAATTTAGTTCTTTGTGCACTGTTATGATTTATTCAAAGACTAAGAGTATCTACTGTCTGCCATGTGGTATTTATTTACTTCTCTTTGACGTTAGTCAAAATTTATTTGTTACGTTCTTGCTAGATATAGTCTTCAACTTAAAAATGTGACTGGGAATGGATCATATTAAGTGATAGATATGAAAAATGAAAGGCGACAAAAGGTCTGACAAACAAACAGAACCAAAGGTTTGACAGTTCATTGAAAAATATAGTAAGTTGAGAAGTTGAAGTAAAATTATATGCAAGTTTGACAATCAAATGTGTTGATGTCGCCCATGACAAGCGTTATAACCTAAAGTCCATATGTGGCCAAGTTTCTTGAAGTCTTTTCGAGGGATTCAGTCAAAGTTAAGCAATAATCTGATGGCGCTATCGTGTAGATGTTTTTCCATTTGGGGATCACGTGACGATGGCTATTACTCTAGTCTCATAGCTACTTCGTTTGGGTGCTTCATTGCGATCGGTTTCGAGATTGAAAGAAGCGTGTGGTACATTAACTCCGTGGCCATCGGCTGCCCTAGAATCATGTTGCATGAACACATAAACATCATCCGCTTTCTGTTCGCTGAGGTAAAACCACCTTTGACCTTGTCTGTACTGCCATCGCTGAAGGGTATTTCCACCATTTGTTGGTGTGATACTTGAATACAAAGCATCTTCTTTTGACAGTGAATCCCATTTACATAAACCAAGATGATTGTCTGTGACAGTGCCGAGTGGTCTCCAGACATTCAGAATAACAGCGTGTTTACCTTCCTGTAGGTACCTTCCAACTTCCATTTCCTTGGGATCCTTTGACTCCAAGCACCTCTCCAGTACATAATCTTTAACAAATTTGGCTCCTTGTGGTGACATATCGGAGTGAATTCCTTGGATCGGTTGTGAGGGTCCTCCTGAAGCATGTCTATAATTCGCTGAGAAGGAGATTGCCGCTTTTGCCCCTACCCTACGTAGGTAAAATGAATGAGCTCCTCTTTATTCTGTTAATAAAAAAGCTCCTGAAAGGTGTCCTTACAAATCTTTAACAAGCTCAACAGCGTCTGCTTCCATGGCAGCTTTATAGGCTTCGGAGACTTTGTGCATATTTTCAGTTCCAGCAATTTTTCTTCCGAGAACGTAAGTAAATCCATAATTTTTCAAGTCCGGTACTTCTTCAAGAGTGCGAAGGTCTCGAAGAGGAACTGAATTTCGGTATTTCTCAGCGGACTCGACATCATATTGATTTCTTGCGTGATCCTCCACAAAAGAAAAGACTTCTCCCAAAACAGTCTTAGGTCCTAATAAAAATCATCAAAGTTGTTGCTACCTGGGGTCAGTATTGAGAAAGACCATTTGAAGTTTTGAAAATGCAATGGAGCACAAACTGCTTATTTCGCGTTTTGAAAAACTTCTAGAGGTTGCCAGGCAATGAGAAAACAGAACGAAAATTATTAATGCTTGAAACGACGATGAATGCATTGGGACAATTAATTCGAAATGGACTTCGTGATGAAAAATAGAGTAGGAATCGACACCAATCCATTCAGGCATCTTTATGGAAATAATTTCTGAATCATGAAGCGAGACGCCATATCGCTTTTGTCACAGACCACCTCATTTTCCGATCGAGAACTTTGTTGTAAACGCTGCTGGAATATCATGTCAAGGGATGCGCGAGTTTGGATTCGGAACTAAAAGCAAAATGTCTCAAATTAGGATATTATCTTCTTCCCAAAGAGAATCGCGCCATGCAAGTCTGTGACCCCCCATGTGATGGGAGAAATGCTCAGATGAAACAAGGAAATCGATTGTTCCAATGAAAAAGAGAAGTCAATTGAAAGGGGTAGAACAAGGTTATCCAATGTAAACAAGACAAGCCGATGTTTCATGTACATTTCTTGATTAGACTCTGTAAGAGTCACTTTCTTATGACCATCTGTCGCACTATGGCCAACCGGCAAAGCAGCAAAGTCATCAAGCAGTCGGATCTCGCGTCCACTGCCCACACTTGCGATGTTTCGGTCTATATTCTGGAGTACATAGATTTTGGTACAAACTTTCGAGGAGGTTTTTGTACCCACTCCACATGGATTCATGTAGGTACGGACTCGCTCATAGTGTATAAGCCACCGATACCCGAGATACACAGACCGTGAGCGTCGAGAGGAAGACAGCTTCAGGGTGGAAATTCGGGCGATTCAACAATCTCGGTTCCACTATGTAGCGCAAAACCTGATTTACCTTGAGGCTTTGATGTAGTCTTTTGTTAAAATGAAGTGAAACACTGATTCCACGTCCAACCTTGAGCTTACTCATATGCTACAAACAAAGGAGCTTCACGCAGGTCAATTGATGATTTTGAAAGATCTCTATCAAATCAATCAGTATGATCATGATTATCCAGCTCACTACAAGCTGAAGTCATTTGTTTGGGTCGTGGACTTTGCACCTATCGTTTCGATTAGTGAGGCCTCTGTTGTCACTTTATTAGATCATCGAATCAAATATATGTATGTGAGAACTGAAGAAAGATTATATGTACATATTATAGGTTTTTACTGATGATGCAGGATTGTCATACGATGAATAATGTGTCTGTACATCAATGCCTCCATGCAACACAATAAAATGCTGGAAATATCAGGCAGACTTTTATATTTCGGAATTTCTCCATCGGTTAAATGATTAGTTAGATTGGTTATTCAATCATGTTGATGTTGCTTGAGTTGGTGATGATTTGATAATTGCAATTACCGAAGACTCAAAACTCATTCGAGTAGATGGCTTGTTGGCATCCTTTTTGAAAGTAAAAGAAGCGTGGGGTACATTGATTCCATGACCATCTTCTTTTGCCCGGCTATCGTGTTGCATGAATACATAAGCTTCATCAGGCCTCATATCACTCAAGTACCACCAACTTTGACCTTCTCTATACCTCCATGGCTGAAGTGCATTGTCCAAATTGCTTGGTTCGAGTCTCCACCGCATAGCATCTTCTTTCAAAGATGAATCCCATTTGCAAATACCGAGATGATGGTCTTGAACAGTATGAATCGGTCTCCAGACATTCACAATCACCACGTTTTTACCGTCCTCCTGGAGATACCTCCCAAATTTATACTCCTCTGGATCCTCTGAACTCAAAAGTATGGCTTGTGTTAGCTGTTTCGCGAATTCGGCGCCTTCAGCTGACAGGTCAGAGTGAATTGCTGAAACTGGTTTTGGTGTTTCCGGTGAAGTGTGATCTCTAAATCCAGCTACATACGAGAATGCTGATTTTGCACCGGTCCTGAGCATCCAAAGTCAGTGAGCCCCCTTTTATTCTATTCGAAGACATATTTCTGTAGAGATAATCTTACAGCTCTTTTACAAGTTCAATCGAATCTGCTACCAAAGCGTCATAGTGGTCATCGGATAGTTCTTCCAGATCTTTGATCCCTTTTACGGGCCTTCCGGACACATAAGTGAATCCATCAGTGTTTAAATCCGGTGTGCCTGGTATACTTCGAAGGTCTTGAAGAGGAACTTGATGCTTGAAGGACTCATCAACTCTATATGATTTGGTTGGTAGATCGGTTTCAAAAAGGAAAACACCTCCAAAAACAGTTTCAGGATCTATTGAAACGATTGTTAAAGTCAAACCAAATCTGCTTTAGCATTGTTTCCCATCATCTGAAGTTTTGGAAGCGTGAATGAACAAACTCTTTAATTCTCGTTTTAAAGTACTTCTGCAGTTTATTGAAGACCGAAAAAAGAGAACGAAAAAGACCAAGTGTTGAAGCGAGTAGGAAAGCATCCACATCTTTTCTCTGATGAGCAATATCGTTGTAATGACAAGACCCTTCGAAGTAAAAAGTCAAGATGGGAAGAAATCTACATCGATTATCGGATCACAATCCTATATGGTAATTTCATCCCAAATATGACACATCAATCCGCTCGTGTCGCAAACTTGGTCATGCTGAAACCTTGATCTGCAATTGGGGAATTTGTGCCAGAGGTGCTAGAATGTGAGCTCTAGGGATGCACGGCTCTTTTGGTCAGAGCTAAAACAAGTGTTTCAGACTTGGAGAATGATTTTAACCAAGAGAATGTTATATGTCACGGACGTGATTGATTCGGTCAAGAAAAGCAATCAACACCAACAGTACTATAGGCGATCGAGAAGCACTTGTGAGAATGTTCCACAGGTTCAGTGGATCATTCTAAGCTCTCTATGTCAATGAAACCTAATAGATCCTTTGGCATTCAGCATCTTATTCTATTTAGGTGCTGTTGGTAAATTTATTTCGTTCGGCGTGATTCAAAATGGTTCTACGAGGTTAGATCTCTGGTTCCATGATTTGATGAAATTGAAGCTGAGAAAACGTCAGAATAAACATCTGATGAGGCTGATAGAGGTTGAGGATATTTGAATGGTAAAGAGGGAAAAGATGGTTTCTAAAGAACAAATGAAGCAGATGAAATCAAGAATTGTTTACGTCATAAAACCACTGCATGTAACAAAATTCTTTGAAAACCGAACATACAAAAATCAATAACACAGCACATCAGTCATCAGACTCATCTTTTCGTCTTACCATCCCATATCTGATTCTTCCCTTCTTCATACTCGCTTGATTGTTTTCATCTTTGAGTCACACTTTCAAATAAGCCTTGACCTGTTCTACCATGATCGAGCCTAAATTCTGAACCGACAATTGCAACAATTCTACATTCGTAGCTGATTCTTGGAGCCTCTCTACGGGTTTCATATATATAAGGTGCAGCATGCGGTGTATTCATCCCATGGCCAGCTGGTGCTGAACTATCATGTTGTACAAAAACAAAGACTTCGTTTGGTTTCTGTTTATCTAAATAGAACCATTTTTGATGCTCATTGTACTTCCAGGCCTGAATTGAACTACCAGTGTCTGTGGGATGATTAACAATTCCCCAAGCGTCTTGATCTGAAAGTGACTGCCAATCGCAAAGGGCAAGTGGATCGCGGCCAACTTCTCGGAGCGGTCTCCATACATTGAATATCACCACGCGCTTATCTTGGGCCATGTGCTGTCCAAATGCTTTCGTGTCTTCGTCATCCGAAGTTTCGCAGAACGGGAGTATCATGCTGGATTTGATAAATTCCGCCCCTCTTGGTGACATGTCACTGTGCATCACACGATATGGCTTCTGGGAACCCCGTGACGGGCCTCGAAGAACGCCTCCCCAAGATATTGCTGATTTTGAGTTGGTCCTAATTCAAGACACAAGATGAGCCTCCTGGGACCAGTCTTTTACGAAGAAAAAATTACCGAGTGACTGACAAGTCTTTCACAAGATCCAAAGCATCTCTTTCCAAGATCTTTTGGTGCGCTTCGGAATGTGGGTCTAATTGGGAAGCATCCAGAGGGAAGTCACGGGTCACATAAGTGAATCCGTGGGTTTTGATATCAGGCATGTCCTCGATTCTACGAAGGTCCCACAGAGGGATGGCAGGTCCTTGATCATTGACATCTACTATATATTTTTCGGAAGTTAGTCCGGTAACGCTCCAGACATGACCGGCGGCGTGACCAGTGGTAGTCTCGTGCCATTCTAAAACACGAAACGCGAAAGGGAGCACATTTCGCAACGAGGATGAGTAGGAAAAATTTCATCGAGATGAGAGGAATTTCACGAGACTGACCTGGTAGGGCTCTCTTTAAGATAGGCTCAGAATTGTAAAGATCCGCTTGAAAGGTGAGCACCAAACTTAAAGGAAGCAATAACTTATAGAGTAATGAACACATGGAGATCAAAAGTCTGTTGAAGTGCTTAAGCTCAAACGATTTATGTACTTGATAAAAAAGATGGTCTCCTGGGGGCAGATGAATTGAGATGCGGGTTCAAATCTTAACGGGGAAAAATTGTCCGAAAAACAAAAAGACAAACATTTACGTAGTCAGCATAAGCAACTGTGGCAAGTTCACACAATTTCACACAATGAAGCAGGTTAGATATTAAGATCTGAACCCCAAAAATGGGATCCTTAGAAGCCTGAATATGAGTTGAAAAAAGACATCTTTGATGATTGGTTCCATGTTGTATTCAAAAACTCAAGAAAGTTGTTATTAGATGTTTTGGACGGTAAAAGATCTTTAGATTCTCCTATTAAATTTTATCTTCAGCTTCTTCTACCACCTACCAAATGGAAATTAGCCTTTTGGGTAAAATAAACCATGTTCACTTGTAGGTCTGCTTCTTTTTCAAATTGCCCTAGAGCCCATAAACTTGAAAGATATCTTCATTGCCCATGATATACAAGATCCAAATGCTTCAGTGAGTGACTCTTGGTGTGTCAAAGTTTGAATAAAAGTGCGTGTGATGAAACCGCTGTGCGTACAAAATTATCTTGGATCCCATGATCATATATTCCTCTGAGGCATGTAGCAATCAAGGATTTCATGCCAGAGAGTTCTTGGGCCCAAGTGCTTCCTTCTGGTCTGGTGATGTGTGCTTTCTTACACAGTGAGGGGCCAATTGGACGGCCTTGTATTAAAGGATCTAAGAAAGATCTGAGGGCAGTGCAGCACAGATGTCTTACATGTAGTATTTTTTGTATAAGGCCAAGGCAATGAGATTAGCGTCACTTGAATAGCCAAAAGGAAGCTCTATGTGATGCTATGTATACTCAATTCTATACACCTGAGGGGAACAGATGTCTTGGCGCGTAGCCAATCATGAACGTGTACTGTATGGTTGGCTATATGCCAGAAATTCCTTATCAGATACTTGCAGGTGCCCCATATGAATCCTTTATCAGTCTAACATGTTGTATAAAAATAAATGAAACTATTACTTATTTTTGTACAGACAACTGACACACAATTTCTGAGTCCAATAAGGCCTGATGGTCAATCAATTTGAAACCAACAGTATCTCTTGAACACAACTCAGAAAGGAAAAACAAGGGAGAAAGAAAAGCAAAGACAAAACAATATTGAAATGAGGAAGAGTTTTGATCACCACCACCTTCCCCTCCTCCTCTATTAACTCCATTAACTCCATTGCCTCCATTGCATCCATTGCCTCCTCTGTCCCAACCATGTTAACATCAAACACATATTTCAAGATCATGATAAATTTTCCATATTTGGTATCTTGCAACCAATATTGACATCTGGCCACCTTTATTGCATCAAAACCTAGCATGAACTTGTACTAACATACCTGGACCATGGTGATGAACCATCTTCACTTTGAGTCTATGCTTTTTCAAATTGAGCTGGATGATTGGGATGTTACAGCAAGCCTTTGATGATCCAAGAAAAGCTGTACTCAAGTTTGTGCGTCAGTTCAAACATATGATACTCTGATATGAAATGGTCAGCTTACTGAATTGTGTTATAAGGTGTTGAGTGATCTCACTGCTTTGAAGATTGGACTTATTTAGAGGTTGAGGTGCTTGGTGATATTTGGTGTTGTTTTTAGCTGCACCACCGGAAGAGTTGATGTTGTTGATTTCCTGTCTGACTTGTGATTAGAGGTGGAGAATGGTCTGAAACTTTCAGTGCTCAGACAACCAGATGCTTATCTCAGGTTGTGTGGTGATTTATTTGCACCAACCAGTACAAGATGTCTTGCTGCATCCAATTGCACATCAATGTCTGTGAGACAGGCATTTTGATGGAGCTAAACAAGGATTGACAAGGGGCATAGAAAACAAATTTGCTTGAGAAAAAAAATGTGGCAGGGAGTTCAATCAAAAGTATGAAGAAAGTACAAGGGAGTGATGTCCATACCTGTTCATGTAGTGTTTTCTTGAAAACTTGAAGAGGTTTTTTGGTTTTGGAGAAAAAAGGAGATTTTCAAAGTGAATACATATTCATATAAAGAAAATCCCCAGCCAAAGGTTTCTTGCTCACAAGCCAAATTTTGTGGATCAGCCATAATTGATCCCTCTCGAGTCTCTCGCAGGTGAATGCGCAAGAGGGGCTTTATAAGTACGGATATTGGGACGATGGGGTGCCGGTACCCCGATACGGGTTACCAATAGAGCTGAGCCTGTATGTAGTACAAGCGTAGATCATGAAAGTAAGATTTGAATTTGCAAAATTGATAACTCAAGAACCTTCAGGCTACAACTGATTTGAAAAGGCAAGCAAGCAAAAAGATTACCAAAGCACCACACAAACCAAGCTCAAGACGGAATACTTGAATCTCATCTCAATCTTGATTCTCATCATCACTACTCTTTACACGTTTGATAAGATGGTAAGGTTTTTGAAATTGTTCTTCTGCAAAGGTTTGGCATAGGGTCTTGATTTGAGATGCGGTTTTGATTGGATTATAGTCGACTTCAGGATCAAAAGCTCAGAAGGAAAGGGTTATGAGCGAGTTTATGGGTTTAACAAACGCAATGTATGCACAAGATCTTTGAATGATTTTAAACCTTCTGTTTGACTGAAGTTGACTTATCCATTTATATTAGACCTGCAGATACTTCACGGATATGTAAAAAAGCAGGGTAAGTTGAATCGATTCTCAACACCTTTTATTTTAAATTTAAGGAGATTCAGATGGGATTGGTTTGATTAGGTATCGATTAGAAGCAGCGATTGAGATGTTTTATCGAGATGGAACAGCTCAACTGAATGCTGATCGAGCGGTTATGAGCCGTAAAAAAGCATTAAGTGAACAGATTGAAGGACTTCTGAATACTCAATTCGATGGTTATCAAGGTAAAGTCGTCACCAAATGATGATCTTTGGTTCCTGGACTCTTTGTTGATCATTTCATCCATTTCGATCATTCGATTCACGCCAAAGATAATGACTCAAAACGAATGGAAATGGAAGGACTGATCCAATACTTAGAAAGCTTAAGTCTCTCACCTGAAGAACCGAGTGTGATTTGTTTAGCACAATTAGTTGAAGCACCAAGATTAGGAATCATCGAACGAAGTGGGTTTCGTCAAGGATGGACAAAAGTTTATTTAGATCAATTGGAAGAAAACGAAACGGATTGGATTCGAATCAAAACTCAAGAAGAATTAATTACATTTCAAAAAGATCATCTTCAAAACTTATCTGATGAATTGAAAGAAGATGATGATTATTTTCAAATTATTTATAGATATGTTTTTGATTTTGGTAAAGATGAAGGTCAAAAAAGTTTTGGTAAGTTTGACTTTTCATCATTTTGAATTTATCAGATGAGGGATTTTTTTTCTCCAAGAAGAAGAAATGGGTTGTAAGGTTTTTTTGGGGGGATGCCAAATTTAGCTTTGATTTTGATTTTCTTTTGTAGCACTTGAAACTGCTGTGGCATTCTGGGAAATGCTTATACCGATCGCACCTACACCTGATGGAGAACCCTTCAAACAAGAGTACCTAGAATGGTGGTTTGAACTCCTAAGGTCGAAAGGTAAAGCTGTCAGTAGGGACACATGGAACTTGGTATGTTGGTTTTAGAAAACGGTTTCGTGATGTTGAGGTTAACAAACTGATCAAGTCTGATGTTGGTTATTTTTGATAGTTTGGAGACTTTGTTCAACAATTTGATGATGGATTTAAAAATTACGATGAATCTGGTAAGAACTTTTCTTTGAGAAAAAAATCCAATAGTAGAATTGATTTCAGGATAGAAACAAATGGAATTGATGCCTGATTGAATTTTGGAAATCATGATTTATTAGGTGCTTGGCCTTCTATGATTGATGATTATGTTGAATTAGCTAGAACAAAATTAGGATCTGAAACGATGGACACATCATGAAGATAGATGACGAAATCGAAATCCAATCCATCAAGTGTGAATGTAGGTTTGAAATGAAAGTGTGTTTATGATAAGGTGTAAACGAAAACAAAAAAAGGTGGAGTGAATTTTGTGTGAAGAAGAAAAGGTGAAGGACTTGAATCTTTTGATTGGGTCCGTATATCACATGTTATATATATTAGGATCAAATTGACAAAAGAAAATCTTGATAATTGTAAAAAAACAATCAATTACTTATATGTCCCAAAAGATGATGCTAATTGAGATTGATTTGGTGGTTTGTACAAATATATTCTGATCAAAGATTTTGAGAGGGCATTGGTAACGCAGCCCTTCTACCGGAACTAGATTAGCAAGATCTGTTCTTTAACTTAGCTCAAGACAACCTCCCACAGGGGGGTCTCTGTTCCCCTGTGACGAGATTGGGGATTCACTTAGTCTAGCCAAAACCCTCACGCCTATTGATGTGACACATAGCAGATAATTGCCAGCTATCCCAGCTTTATTTGAGACTAAAAGGTGATGTGATTGTTTGAATGGTTTATGTAAAAGTTTAAAGTGAGTTGAATTGGATCTGATGAAGACTGTATTGTAAATTGGTAAACAGGAGACAAGTTTTGAGTGTTGAGTTTACATAGTAGACGGTTCATCTGATTTCCTTGAAAACGAACAAAAACCAAAAACCAAGAACCAAGAACCAAGAACCAAGAACCAAGGAAAGGATATCATGAAGCAATTAAATATCAGGAAAAGAAAATCATCAGAACCAACAACAGAGAATCAAGATCAATCGAAAGGTCAAGATCAAAATGATCTCAACAAGGAAACACCCAAACCAACTTATGGTACTACTCCAGATGGAACTCGTTAGTCTCTTCATCAACTATTCTTGATTGACTATCACTACTAATCAAAAACCACATCATCATCATCATTCAAAACCCAATGGAAACAAGTCTTCAAAATTCCCGAAACTCATGACGTACTCTCTTCACTCTTCAATCCGAGTTTACCAAAATCGAATTTAGATTTAATCACTTTATCCTCATTATCATTTCAAATCATCTTGTTTAATTTCTTTAGTATGAACACCTTGAGAAAGATTTATTTGATATCATTTATTTTTTGGAGATTAAGTTATAATGTTGGATTAGGTTGGATCTTGAAAAAACAATCAGAACGAAAGTTTATTGTCAAATGGATCTCATTAAATAAATATTTTGATTCGAAAGTTTATCCAAGGTTTTCAAAATGGGTTGAATTACAATTGAATTCGAAAATGTCACATTCAACTGATTATCAATTTGATTCAGTACCTATCGAATATAATATTTGGTTATTGTTTCGTCAAGTAGTAGATATCATCTTATTAAATGATTTCTTATCTTACTTTTTATTTTGTTTTACTTCTAATCATTCATTTGAATTTCATACATTACCTAGGATTTTAGTTGGAGTTGGTTTAGTGGCATTCAATGTATGGGTGAAATTAGAAGCACATAAGATAGTACATGATTATGCTTGGTATTGGGGTGATGCGTTCTTTAAATCACTTCATACGTTGGTTTTCGATGGTGTTTTCGAAATGGCACCTCATCCAATGTATTCGATAGGTTATGCAGGATTCTATGGTGCAAGTTTGATTACTGGTTCAAGAATGGTGTTCTTTGTTTCATTAGGTGCTCATCTTTGTCAATTTGGATTTTTGATTTATTTCGAAAACCCTCATATCGAAAGAACTTATGGTCGACCAAGACCTTTGACGGCTAAAGATCCATTACCTATCAAATCAGATCTTCAACATTCAATCTCAAATCATTTATCAGAAGATCAAAAGAAAACTCCAACTGCTTCATTAACTGCATTTGAACAATCTCCTGGTGATTGGTCAGATTCGTCTTACAATGGTGATCTGGGTTCAAAAGGACTTGTATTGAATTTAGAATTAGATGAAAGTCATCCTAGAAAAAGTTTAGATCAAATCAATTCACCTGGAATTTATAATCCAACCAAATCATCGGCTCATAAAACTAATTTTCATCATTCAAGACCATTAACTAGACAAGATTTAGATCATAAGTTTTTTAAAAAACAAATGATTGGACTATCGAATTTCGATCCATTACGTTCGACAGATTTAGCCACCAGTTTAAGTTTATTGTATTCGATTTTGTTTTTAATTTTTAATCAAAACAAATGGTTAGTTAGTTTGAATGCCATTGGGTTTAGAATCTTACATAGTTTTGGATTAGGTATCTTATTGAAAAAACAATCTCAAACTAGATTTATTGTACGACATTTTTTAAAAAGGTATCATTATCATCCTGAGATCTTTAGAGAAGTCGTTTTAGAAGATTGTTTTGGAAATTGGATGGGGATTTATAATCTTAGTTTAATCATGGTTTATGGTCTGGATCCTCTTTGATTGTTTTTTTTCTCCAATGAGGTTTTGTAGTATTGAACTTACTTTGGTTTTCTTTTATAGTTTCGTTTGGGACTTTGGCTTGGCAGTTTTATGAGATGAAATCTGATTTGAGTATTGGATCTGAACTATTGAGGCATACATTTGGAATGGTACAAGTTTTTGGATTTCTCAAACTGATTTATTTCAAAGGTCTAATCATTTTGATTGTGTTTTTTTACAGTGTTTAATTGGACTTCATATCTGGACTGCTCGTTCTACTTATGAAGTTCTAGGAAACTTTGGATGGTTTTATGGTCAGTCAAGAATATTTGATCCCAAACTTAACCCAAAAAAAATGTAAAGAACTCAAAGAATTGATAAATCTTACCTATATACCCAGGTGATTTTTTTATTGATGATTATCCAAACGAATTGGCTTATACGGGGATTTATAGATTCTTGAATAATCCGGAAAGAACTATGGGAGGTGCTGGTTTGATTGGATTAAGTTTGATGTCAGGATCATTCTTTGTGTTTGGGTTTGCAATCTTTTCAATGATTTGTCATTGGTGGTTCTTAAGTTATGTTGAAAAGTAAGATGATCCTTTTTTTCTTTTTGTTTTTTTTTTCAAAATTATTTTACTGATTTGAATCTTATACTTGACAAATCAAAATAGTCCTCATATGAGGAAATTGTATGGAGATGCTATTAGAAAAGAAGCAGGGTTGACTAAAACTATAAGAGAAAGAGCCATGGTTAGATTAAAAAGAACACGTGGGGTTAGGATTGAAGAGAAGATTAAAGAAGTACAAGGAACGTTTGATCATATTTATGATGAAACAGTGGTGGCATTAGATGAGTTTTTGGAAAAGTGTAAGTTTGAAAGATGTTGATTTGTCGATGATCATCTGGTCTGATGGGTTGATGTTTTGGTTTTGAATTGTAGCTGCACCAAGGTTATCTGGTGTGGTAAGAGATACAAAGGTCTTATTACAGCAATCTGGGGAAAGATTGATCTTGACGTATGTTCAGATTTCTTTTCTTGCTCTTCATCGTGTGCATTTAGTGCGACAGAGCTCAGAGGCTGGTTTAAGCCCAAGGATCTGAGTTCAACCCTTTTGGTCGTCAGTTTCTCACATATATATTGGGTTTTCTTTTGAGGAGGTGATACAGTCGTGTAGCGAACGATCTATCAAGTTATGACACAAGTCAATATCAACTCACCGTTCACCCATCGGTTCATCATGATCCATATTCAAGTTCAAGTTTGGATGATCAGAGACTGTCGATGAGTCCTACCTTTATCAAATCACTTGGAGAGACCAATCGATTGCTCAAGTTTCACGTAGGAGAACCCATCACATTAACCTGGACTGCACCACAGAACCATTCGAGATCCGATTGGATTGGACTGTATCGATGTGGGTCGAGTACATCTAGGTTGGTGACCCGAGTAGCAAGTGCAGGACGATGGTTACCAGTTTGTGCAGAAGAATGGGAAGGTGAAGTGCATATCGGTTCAAAGGTAGAAGAATCTGATGATGGAGAGTTGGACACGGCAGTGGGAAAGAAACCATTGGCGGAGGGTACAATGACCTTTACTGGTTCACAATTGGTTTGGAGTGAAGGGTGGTATGAGTTTAGGTATCATCATGATGGTAAACATAATGTGATGGCTATCACTGAACCGATTGAAATTTATAGTGAGTGAAGATTGTATCAAATGTTTTGTCAAAGAAGTCGACTGAAATGAAGCACGTGTTTTGATTGTTTAGTTGAAAAGGTAAAAGAAGAAGAAGATCGATTAGAAGTCATGAAAGAAAATGTTCGAAGTTTAGTAGGATACTCACTCTGTTTAGAACCCAGCTTAATACCCAAAAGTTTAACCCTTTTGAATCTAAATGAACTTCAAGAAAGAAATGGAACCCCCAAAAAATCAGAAGAAGAGGAAGATTTTGTTGTGATGAATTATGATCAAGCTCGTAGGATTAGAGATGGGATTGGAAAATCATTTGGGGTGGAATTAGGATTAGATGTGATTTTAGATGATGGGAATGTGAGTAGATTAGCTGAAAGGATTTTAGGTGCTAGGAGATTGTTGAGGCCTATTTTGGGAGTTGATGGTGGGAAAAATGATAAGAAAAAATGAAATGAAATGATTGTTCTTCAAAAAAATTCTCAAGAATTGGAAAACAGAAATGGAGTCTTTTTTGAACATATATATAGAAGATTTGATTGAAGGTTTGAATTGAATTGAATTGTTTTTTTTGGTTTTGAACTCTTGTTTCTCAGATGAAAACAAGAAGATGTATGTACTCTTGTTTATGATTTTTTTTTGATTTTTGTTTTGATTTTTGTTTTGTTTACTGCTAAATTATACACGTATGCATTGTTTTTTTTTTGTTTTTTTATTGCAGGTTGATGAGGTTATGATTTAGTTGATCTGAATGTAAAGAAGAAGATGAATGTGTTTATGAATGGATTTCAGGTTTATGGGGGTTCGCCTGGATGACCAGCATCGCGTGGTGATAACACAAGTTCATAGCTTGTGTGGAAGAGATCTCTACAACACGGTTCAAGCAGGGTTTAGCTGGTTTTTAGTCAATCAGGATCGTCAGCCCTTGAGGGGTGAGAGGACCAACCATAACTCCACTTGCCTTCAAGATATGCTCCAGGAATAAATAAAACGATGCTGGGAACCTGAGACACTTCACTCCTAGCTACGAATCCAAAAGCCCCAAACGTTCTATCATAGCGGCTTTCAGAATATAATAGCCGATCAAAGACTGATGTGTCATGAATTATGAGCTGGTCTGAAGTGTAAGGTGTCTCACTTCATACTTTTAAATGGTTATCCTCGTGGTGATACTATCAGATAATTGGTGTCCAATTCTTCCTACTCCATCTCGCTTCATCATCCAGCAATTTCTTCAACGAAAACAACCATCAAAATGTATTCATCTTCTTTTCGGATATTGGTCCTCGTCGTTCTCTTTTATCATTCTTTCATCAACTGCAGAAGTACATCAAAACGAGAATTAAAAAGTTCGTGTTCATTTATTTTGCAAAATTTTAGAATCGGATGAAGATTCGATACCAATCTTATAAGTTTGAATTGGATTGAACGGTCACTAGGTCCTGGAACAGTCTTGGCCGACACTTACTGTTTTGTAGTGGATAAAGCAAAAAATGAGTTGAAACCTGATTACAACAAAGTTCAACACGTTCCTCTTCAAGACCTTCGAACTATAGACATGATACCGGATCTGAAAACAGACGGATTTACCTACGTTTCCAAAAGGCATATTACAGGAATCGAAAATATGGTAGAAATGTCTAATGAACACAAAGTGGCCTTGGCAGAGGATTCTGTTAAACTTGTCTTAGAGTTGTAAGGAGATTTCCCAATAACATTGTCATCGAACATTACTTAACGGGGCTCATTGATTTTAAATCATCAGGACGGGGGCAAAATCGGCATACGTTCATTCAGGTGGTTTCAGAGACCTCACTTCACCAGACTCGGCAAAATCAATTCCAGTGATTCACTCTGATATGTCACCAGAAGGGGCCACATATATCAAAGGCATAGTGCGAGATAAATTTTTGAGGTCGAAGGATTCAGACAAGGTTAAATTTGGAAGGTATATTAAGGAAGGAAAGAAGATTGCAATCGTGAATGTCTGGAGGCCAATCCATACCGTTCAAGACAATCATCTTGGGATTTGCCAATGGGATTCACTTGTAAAAGAAGATGCTTGGAAATCTAATCTCATACCAAACGGCGGCACAAGTACAGCTCAGGCATGGCGGTATAGAGAAGGTCAACGGTGGTTCTACCTAGACCAGCAGAGAACTGATGAAGTGTATGTCTTCATGCAACATGATAGTGCAGCCCCAGATGGACATGGAATCAATGTTCCACATGCATCTTTTGAATTGCAAAAAGACAAGGATAAACCATGGACACGAATCAGTTTTGAGGCTACAGTCTTCGCAATGATGGATTCGCCCACAGTTTCACCACTTTCCGAATGGAGTGATTACATCGTATCAAGGATTAATCGATTTATATATTAAGATAATCAAAATTCTCTCACTTATTCGTCTTTTATGATCTATCTCCTTGTACCTTGGTTTCTCGAGATCCTTAGACTATATAAGAATGATTGTTCTCCTCTCTTCACCTTTCCCCTTTTCTCACTCATTCTGATCAGTCTTTCTCGTACCAATAGGTACATTGCTTTACTCATAACACTCGTGTTTTCATTGCCTTTACTGAGAACTGTTTGTCTTCTTCATAAGCTCGTACATCTATACCATGTACACTTAAAAAGGGAATTCTAAAAAATAGACGCCCGATAATTGCAAAGGGTGGTAATCACCACACGCTTGCCTTACTTCTAGAAAAGATTACCAAACCCTTTGAAAAGAATAGGTTTCCATGTAGCTTAAACTCACAGGGTTCAAAATTGTTGAATCATCCGGACTGCTACATAATGATCCTCTTCCACCCTCACAAATCTGATTTTTCTGAGAATCCTCAGCTGGAGTGGTGATTAGCTGCACAGGCACTCCAGCTTCTTGGAACAACTCATAAAATGTTCACAATCTTGTTCTTGCATATACCTTAACATCAATTTTGGATACCATGTGAATCAAAAACTAAGTTAAGATACAAACAGATAAAATGAAAAAAATGCAATCAAGCTTTATAGTACTTCTTGTATATACTTCCACAAAATTCTTGGATTCTTTGTACCATCCAAAAAGTCAGTTTACATTTGGAAAGACAAAATAACAATGTAATATTGTTATGATCAGGTTTCATTATCATCATATGTGAATATGCTTATAGATATACTGGTTCCTCCATTGTTGTATGTCATAGTCATTGATGAATCTTGATCTCCAAGAGAAAATCCCAATCCCTCAAAGTTGCACCCATTGGAGATAATCTCGTAATGTAGAGACCAATCAGATCAAGAAAAGGAGGTGAGCTGGATCCATATAGATACATCCTTAGGTGAATTGAGTCAACATTGAAAAGGTCGCATCAGTGCAATCAGGAATTGCACTATTTCAAATTCCAGTCTCAGTACAGCTACAAGTGGCAAGAATTTTAAAAACCATTGCCTGCAACAGCGCAAGGATTGATTGAGGGGAATTGGCATAACTTGACACATAAAAACCACCAAGTCACATATGTACTGTAACTTTATAAACAAACATTTTTTTCTGAAGACAAACTTGTATCTATTTATATTTATGAATCAAAGAGGAAATATTACACAATCTCTTTTTAGAAAGCATTCAGAAAGGAACAATTTAAATTTTCAGCATAGGAGATATAGTCTACCAATCTAGTGAACCTCTTGCTCGGGACTTTTTTTGACCTTTGTGATTTGTGGAAAGGATAGTGACTTGATCAATCTGAGTCTCCTTAAGAAATTTGGGCTTTTGATTTTTGGTTCCCCATAAAAGATGAATTCTTCTGTCTCAGGGTCAGAAAAGGTGACCTTTTTATATCTTTTTCCAACTTTGGACCAGGAAGCCCATCATCAGGGAAAAAAGTCAGTGACTACTGAGATGTTCACAAAAAGGAAAAGCTCAATTGATCTCAATTCACACAAACATACCTTGGGCATATAGTTTGTTTTCTCCCTTTTTCTTCAGGCAAGACTTGGGTATTGCCGTTTCCCCGTCCCGCTTGACGGAAGATAGATCGAGTTTCAGTTCAAGACGTGGCCCACTTGATTTCTTGGTCTGTGTGTATATAGGCGCCCATTCAGTTGGTGTTTTAGCCCGGTATGTTGATATAAATATATTCTCTGTCTTCTCGAAAAGGAAACTTACTGCTTTTGGAAGGGAGCCTTCTTCTCTGTTTGTGATGCCATTTTCAAATTCGACACCATGGGGGTTGTCGACATACTTTGCGCAATCGGAAGCTAAGCTAGAGACCAGTCCAGCATTGAAGCCCTTCAAGATGAAAGAGAGAAGAACAATTGCCTTCTTAATAGACATCATTTTTCGAAGAACGAAGCCCTGTTTCACCAAATTGATAATATCTCTGAAAGGCTCGAGTGCAAGTCGAGAAGTGGTGCTCAAAAACTATTCTTGAATCTTGGTGACTAAACGCAGTGGTATTTCACGCTTCTCCCTTGATTGTATTAAGGATGTAGAAATCAATCAAAATTGTGTAGTGGAAGAGCTGAGCGATAGAGCAAGAGGCAAAATATGTACTACAAATCAAAACACCGGTGAGCCAAGATGACAAGAAACTGATAATATCTCAGCTATATCTATACATTGAGAAAGGAACATTTCTAGATCGCAACAAGTCTCAGACTCAGTTGATATCTTTCCTGCGTGGAGAAAAGATTATACCAGCTTGATGTGTCCTTGTAATTGAATGGAACTCAGTCATTGAACTTGATTTCCAAAACTCTCATTCTACGAGTGACAGATACTTCTCTGATCAGCATCGAAACAGATACTGAGACCGATCTCTGAAGAATAAGACATTTGTGCCTGCGGTAAACAGATTATCTTGCATAGCTCAGCAGTTAAGTTTTCAAGGCATTGAGATCTTAATCTCTGGAAGCGTCACAGCTTTGGTCCTATAACTGAAGAGGTTGTTTCTGTGTACTGACTTCCTTGCACTGTGTACACCACGAACCCTTAAAATCGGTTTGTCAACCGGTTCTCAGTACCGGTTGACAAACCAATTTTCTTTGGTGACGAGAAACGGGTGCCAACTTGACTCAGTCTTCGCCAATCAGGTTTGAGACCGATCTTTCAAACTGAGCTTGAAAATTATTTCTCGGTGGTTGAACAGCGGATAAGGACCCAATGTTCTGCTGCGGTTTTTGTAATGAGATTGCTTCGAGTGGCTCTCGCGCTTGCTCCGGGTCTTGCTGCGGGTCGTCATATGGAAAAAACGACTAATCGACCGCGCCAGGCCGTCCATTTGCATGAAAGATAAAAAGCACCAACATGAAAGAGGAACTGCTGTGAAATTAAAGTAACAAACAAGACGTGAAAACAATGGTGACAGGCTGTTCAACATGAAAATACAATCATCATATCATATCTAACCTGAACGAAGCCCCTCTTCCGACGCGGCCACGTCCGCTCTCGAAGAGAGGCTTAGGGCTTATACCCGGACTTTAGCCTGAGACCAGCAGGATTTTCAAGCAATTTTGCTTGAAATCCTTTTTTGAGGGCTGTAAATGTTGTAAAAGCCTGCAATAAATTCAGCAAAGCTTCTTATAAGCCTTGTACACACACTTGTGCCACTTTTAGCACCACTCTACCTGATCAATTTGACAAATTTGAACTGTTGAGTTATTGTGGTTCTGGGTCATACTCAGCATGCGGGTTATGTGTGCTGGACCGGTCAAAATCACTTGGTGTTGGAATCGCATTTCCTCACAATCTAGAAGGGGTGACAGGCTACAAGGAGAAGCCAAGGAGGTTGAAGAATTCCTGCCGAATTTATCGCAAGCGTTTACAATGTCTAGATGTCATGAACCATCCGCAGCGTGGTAGTCTGTTTCACAACTGTTAAAAGAATAGGGCTAATATTTTAATAGCTAAGTTGAAAGAACACGACGTATGTATAAGATTTGTAATCAGGAACAAGGAACGCGAATAATGGTTGTTTATTCAATTTTAGGTTTTCATTTCTCATATATATACTTTATATGTTTTCTACAACTTTGTTTGCTCTTTTTCTTATCGGAATAATCATTTATCTTACCTTTCTCTTCGTTCGACGTCTCCGTTCTGAGACAAAACCGTTCCCTTATAAGAATTGCTTCGTGCCGTACCGAAAGACTGCTCCGATCTGAGTGTCTAAGTTTTACTACATCCCAGAGCATTACATTTTTATTCCGATCTTTTTTTACTGAGCGTTATTTAAACGTTATCGATAAATTTTTTTTAAAAATTTTTCTTTTGAATTGATCACTTAGATCCTAATATTTTGTTCTCGTTTTTTCTCTTTTTTGACTCTTACTTTTCGCCAGATCACTTAGATCATTTTTTGTTTAGAAAACTTTAATAATTATTTTTCGTTTAAATTCTCATTGCTTTCCTTTTTTTAGTTTATGTTTAGCGTTTTTTCACATCTTTCATTTTCTCACGCCTTCGTTTACCTATATATACATCCTGCTCACTATTCGACGGAAGATTTATTACATTCTTTCATCGATTTACCTTTTTTTCAGCCTCCAATTGAAGATCCGATCCAGTTACTGGCAAGTTTTCGTCAGCTTCCTTTCTTCGAGAACCCAGACGAAAATCCATTTTCACTTCCAACAGCAAATTCACCGATAACCTCTCAAGCTCTCTTCCAACAGTCATTGGCCTATTATTTGGATTTAGAGGTTTACAAAGAACTGTATCTGGACCGCCGTCTTTATTACTCAGATCCCATTATCACGCCTCCGACCTCTCTGGATTCAGACTCAATCGATTCGGACTCATTATCAGATCTAGAATCATTCCCTCAAGTATGAATCCTTGGAGAGAAGGACCTGAAAGCCCAACGGTTTCTTCAGTCTTTGGAAGAGACATGCCTCCTCATCAAGGAACTAGCAGTGAGCTCTCGGATCCTCATGCTATCAGAATTGATTCCCCCCAAATTATCGCAACACCCGTTTTCCACATTCTCAATCTCCTGTCTCTCGACTAGCTCAAGGTTTGAGTAATTTGGATTTCGCTACTAATCGAAGGAATTTGAATCAACCAGGACAGCAGGTACCTCGCGGCCCCCATCCAGCAGCCCAAAATGAGCCAGGTTGGCGTTTATTAGCGCAAAGATATCAACGACAGTATGGTTATGGAGCACAAATGCCAAACTACACCTACCCTGGTCCAGTCTGGCCCGGTGGACCACCATCTGATCTTCCACCTTTTGCTCCACCACGATATTTGGTCCTGCACGTCCCTCAATTTGCAGTGCCACCCCCTCATTTCGTACCACATCCAAACCCTCAATTCGCTCAGAATCAGCAGCACGCCCAAAATGCGTCGGCACCTCCGCATGTGGTTCCTCAGTTTAATCCGTATCCACAAGCACCCCCTTTTGTAGCCCCTCAACAAACCACCCCTCAGTTTCAACCTCCTCCTCCACAATTTCAATTTCCTCAGAACCCAGATTTTGCTGCTCCGCCTCAGATGCAACCCAAATTCGGTCATTATCATCAACAACCACAACCAGCTCAACAACAGCGTTCAACTCCTACAGCAAGGCCTGTTTCCAGAGCTCCTACTGTAGAATTGGTGACGGATGCCAGGGCGCCCAAGATTTGTGATAATCTTTGCTATTATGGAGACGCTAAAGGTTTGCAGCAGTTTTTGGTGGAAATCCATGATGAATTGGATCAGATTGTGTGGAAGGACGACAAAGCCAAGATCAATTGGATTGCTCGACATTTTAACTCAATAAATTCATTGAATTTGTCAAGCACGCAAATTTGGTTTATGGGTTTATTACAGAAGAATGCGTTTCGTCAAGGTTTCTTAAATCCGTATGGTAATCTCAAAGCCTTACCTTATGATCTACCAGAATTATTGAATCTTGACAATTTCTTGGATGAACTGATTTATAAGTTTGGTGATAAGCATGCTGACAAGACTTGTCGTGAAGAGTTAGAAGCCTGCAAACAGGGTAAAATGTCGATCATCGACTATAATTCAAAATTCGAAATGTTGTCACCTCATGTCAAGAAAACTCCGGAAGACAAGATTTTATTATATGTTGAAGGCCTTCACCCGAGTATTCAGATGGAAGCAGCAAGAGTGGCGGGTTGGGTTAATGAAACAGACTTATCACGAAAACAAGCTATGGCGGTAGAAGCGGCTGATATCTTAGATCTACGTTCCAAAGTAGCTCAGAGCCATCCGCATTTAAAAGTCCCAGGTGAAGTTTATTGACATCCTAATCCTCATCCCTTAACAAGACCGGCTCATCATCAAGTTCAACACCAAGCTTCGTCGAATCGCAACGTTAATGGTCCGGTTCCCATGGACATCGATGTTAACGAAGTATCTCTTCAACGGGATGGCTCTAACCCTTTTCCAGCTATTCGTCAAATCTGCAACACTGAGAGGTTATGTTATGATTGTTTGAAGGTTTACGACGATGAACACAAGAGGCTCAGAGGTTTGCAAGGGAGAAGATCTTGTCCTAATCCACCTGCTCGCATGGAAGATAAGTTGAAGCTTTTACGGTCATCTGTCAATCCAGCCCCCGAACAACCGACTCAAATTTCAGCTATTGATTTAGACGATGCAGAATATGCCGCTTATACCGCCCTTCCAACTGCGACAATCGACGAAACTTCTCGATTTGTCGAATCATTCTGGGAGAACCTATCAACTCCAAGTTATCCCTCAGTTGCTCCTCATTCGTACCAGCCCACAGTACAAGAGGTTCGAGTAGATGCGATTCGAGTTCAGGCGGATTTGGATAACCCACGTCGGTTTCTAATTCCATTACGTATTGTCTCTGATAATCTTCCCATTTCAATTATGGCACTCGTGGATACTGGTGCTAGTGACAGTTTTATAGATCTGGGTTTCGCTGATTTACATGGTTTGAATCTTAATAAAAAATTTGTTCCACAGAGAGTTTCGGGTTTTGATGGTGCTTCAAGTACGAGTGTGACAAAGGAGTGGTGTGGGGTGATGGATGTAGTAGATGTGGATGGGGTCAACTCAAAATTCAAGGCTAAATTAGGTGTGACAAAGTTAGGGAATGGTCACGACGTAATTTTAGGTTTACCTTGGATGATGGAGAATGAGGTTACTTTGTTGATGAGCAAGAAGGGTAGATGGCTGGAGATTGGAGGGAGTGTTGTGTCGGCATGTTTGGTGGAAGATGAAGTGGTCGATGTATCTTTAGTCTCTTGTGAGCCTAAGCCTTCAATCATTTCCTTTTCTTCCCCTTTAGATACCACAGCAATCATCCCGGATCCAATTTCTTCAAATTCTTTTCTTCCTCCCCCGGACAAGTC